TATTCTGTGAAGTATATTAATGGGGATAACAATACACATTAGACATCCTATTCAGTAGTATTTTTAGTACCCTACTGAGTCGAAATATAAACTATAATGGCATATGGAGACTGTCTTAAGAGCCATTTCAAATCAATTTAGTTTTATGTAGTGTCTCTTGAAGTGTCTCAAGGTGATTTACACTGAAAAAGAAAATAGTGGGCTAGTGATTTACTAGAATAATGCACGGCAGCTGTCAGGCAGTAAGGCAAAAATGCTGCATGGAAATGCAAAACTCTGATTTAAAAGCAGTACAAAGGCAAACATATATCTCTGCTCTTCCAGGTACATGAAGCAGCCATGCAATGAAGCCAGGCTGGGTTCAGTTTAACTCAACTGGTCAATGAAGCACTGAGAGCTTTTCCCTTTACAGACAGAACTGGAACCTAAACCTGAAACGTTCCCACTCAACTGTTGAGATTAGGAAAAGCCAGGAAAGAAATATTTGTGACCAATTCATTTTAGCAGTTTTACCATCATATTTCACAACCTCAGAAATTTTAGACTTCCTGTGGGTTGGACTTTTGCCCTGACAGGCTTATTAAGTCAAGAAGGCGGCTTTAAGTGCCTTTTTCATGGAAACTGTTAAAGCCTCTCTTGAAGAAGCAAGACTTGAGTCAAGAAATATTGACCTTGTCAGTGTGGCAACTATTGTGATGCTCCTGTTAAGCAAAAGCAGCTGGCAGGTGGAGTTTCCTTCAGATCACAGTACTCATTGCCTCATTGGGTCTCTTCCTCCTAATGGAGAAGGCCCTCTCACCAGTGCTTATCCCTACACAGCCCCTGAGGTGCAGTCAGCTCACAGTTGGAACTCCTCAGAGAAGTAGGATAATAATTACTCAGAGTGTGTTTCAAAGATGGGGGGGGTCTTCAGCTACAGGACACCTCTTCCAAGGGTTTTCACTCTTTTGCTCATCATCCAAAGTGAAGCTGCTAAGGAAACCATGAAAATGCTTGTATTTTGTATCCTCAGTGTGAAAATTACATGTATTCCTTACATTTTCCTTCTATAAAATAATTTAGAATGGCCTGTTGGGTATGAATGCTTCAACAAACTTTGGGCAAGAGAGAGGGAATAATAGTGTCTTCCTAGGTGAGGACCTGAGTACATAGACCCATAGGACAGCTGGGAGGGACCTTTAAAGATCATCTGGTCCAACCTTTCATGGGAAAGGGAGCCTAGATGATATTATCCGGCACCTCATCCAATAACATCTTTAAAACCTCCAGTGATGAGGACTCTACCGCATCCCTAGGGAGGTTGTTCCTACATGCCACTTCTTCAAGAGGCTTAACCCATCTGTTTCCTTTCTATGTGCTGGGACACATTCCAGATCTGTCATTGCTGTTGCCTGTAGGCCAGGGAGATGGTGGAAGCCTGACCCACTCATGCCACCTCTGCTGTCAACCACAACAAAAGTCTGCCAGACCGCTTCTCAACTTCCCCAGCGAGCATGTAGGGGCTGCTCAGGGTGTTAAAGCTGTGAAGAGCCTGAATTGAGATTACTTGGACAAGTGCAATCCCCTCAACTAAGTGCTTGTGTAGTGGCTGCAGGACTGATGCTGACTCTTCTCATGCAGAGCTCTCCACGTGGCACTTCACTGCTCCCACAGGTATGTCTACTTAAGGAACAGTGGAGCACCACCTTGCAGACAGTGGCTGCCTGAGTCACACCAGACTCTAAGTACTGGCGTGATGTCTATTCATCTGGGAAAGTGTTCTCCTTTCTGCTATGCAAGTAGTATATGTTTTATTCAATAAAGTGCATGTTCCCTATGCAAATGAAAGCACGTTAGAAGGATGATATAGTGACACATTCTATGTTAAATATGCATGACATTTAAAACTCTAAGCAAGAACGAAAAATTATGTATAAATATTAAAGAGCACAAAGTCTACTTTTTGCTTTCATTTTGCTTCTGATCCTGCACTCTGTGAAAAATACTCCTCACATTCTGAGACTGAATTATCTGTCCAAGAACTAAACCTATAATTTTATTCTATCAGTCAAACTGCATGTCACACTATTTTTATATGAAGACAATCAGGTTCTTTGAAGCACAGACACACCTACTTAGAAGGCGCATTCCTCTGAAAGGAGAAGACTTTGGAATCAGGAGTAATTCATCAAGAGACTGATAACTAAATGGGGAAATGCATCTCCTAATGAAAAGGTTTCTTTGCTGTCCATTAGGACACTTGGATCCAGATTCACCCCTTTTGACTGCAAGCATCTAACTTGGCTTTGAATCACTGAATTCTAATGGCTTAAAATGTGCCCTTTGGAAATTCTTGTTTCTCTTCCTTGTCAAGAAAGGACAGGAGGCCACCTGAACTCCTAACCCCAGTACCTTAGGTAGGTATGTAAAAGGAAATTAAATTAATCCAGGCCTTGCTCTAGTTTTTTAAGTATTTGTTGTGTGGGAGACCTGTTAGAAAATCCAGTATTCAACCCATTCCTTGTGGCGCAGTCAACTTCACCTCTAGTTTTCTTTGTATTTTCTGCTACAAAGGGCTTAAATGTCCCTCTGGGAAGAAGCAGAAGTTTTCCATTAAGAAAAAAATGTGCAGGAAGGGGAGAAGCCTATCTTTGTGTTCCCTTCTGCCCAAAGATGTCAATAACTTGCAAATACTAGAAAAGTTTCTGAACAGAATGTAAATATCCTGTCCCTTTTTACATACTTAGAAAATGTAGAGTCCTAGACTGGTTTGTGTTGGAAAGAACTCTAAAGCTCATCCAGTTCCAGCCCTTGCAACAAGCAGGGACATCTTCCACTAGAGCAGCTTGCTGTGTCCAACCTGGCCTTGAACACTGCCAGGGATGGGGCAGCCACAGCTTCTCTGGGCACCCTGTGCCAGCGCCTCAGCACCCTCACAGGGAAGAGCTTCTGCCTAAGAGCTCATCTCAGTCTCCCCTCTGGCAGGTTAAAGCCATTCCCCTTGGCCTGTCCCTACAGGCCCTTGTCCCAAGCCCCTCTCCAGGTTTCCTGCAGCCCCTTCAGGCACTGGAGCTGCTCTCAGGTCTAGCCTTCAGGAGCCTTCTCTTCTCCAGGCTGACCCAACCCAGCTCTCTCAGCCTGGCTCCAGAGCAGAGCTGCTCCAGCCCTCGCAGCATCTCCATGGCCCTCCACTGGATTTTCTCAAGCAGGTCTATGTCCCTTTCATGTTGGGAGCCCCAGAGCTGCACACAGTAAAACCAGGTACACTGATCAAATATGAAATCCAGAGCATGGCAGCAGATGGAAACTCCAGCTCTGGAGTCCTAGTGGTTTCCCTTTCTGTAACGCCACCATTATTTCTTGATGAAGAAAAATTGTTCTTCACTGCACATTCTATTCCATGTACTTCTGCTGCACTACAGATGGCAGGAGGACCATGGGACAGCAGTGAAGGGATATGGTATATGGAACCCTGCACCAAGACCAGCTGAAAAGAAGCAGTACTGATCTTCTCTTACTTCACTAGCTCTGATATCAGCAAAACGCTTTCTCCTTTTACAGATGGGAACTGGAGCAGTGGGAAATGTTTTCCCTCAGTATTTGCCCCTCATTCCTCTGTTGACAGAAATGACAAATGGTCATTTCAGTGGATTTAAAAAGCAGTGGAACTTCATGCCCCTAATGAATGGGCAGCAGGAACTCACACTGGCAGCGCTTGATGGCTGCACATGAAACTAGCCAGGCTCAGTAAACAAAACCAGATCCCCAAATGCAGCCTGAGATAAGTGAAAGTATGCATTGAAATTTATTGTAGGAAAATGACTGACTGGAAAAACAGTGGTCTGCACCTCCAAAACATATTGTACCATTTAAACCCGCGAGAAAGACATCTGCCAAAAATGCAGCTAATTCTCCTGAAGGTCAAATGTATTTCTCTTGTAAAACAGTTGAAACAGCAATTGCACTTCTTGATTACTCTTATGAAAGCAACTTAGAGAAGAATCCTAGGATTGTTCTTGTCATTTGAAGTTGGGACGCTTATTGCTTACTGGCAACGGCTTTTGTTGCAAAGGTTAAACACAGTCAGCAAATGATCATAACCCCCCACAAAAAGGGTTAGTCCCAGTGCAGCCTGCCTAAAATTCCCACAGCAGATTTGTAGTTCCTTTTGGAGTGCCGCCACGTGGACACAACTGCTGCCATAGGCTCCTCTCTGTCCCACAGCCCAGTGGAAACAAGAATGGGTGATAGCACCTCTCAGCTCCTAACCATGCTGTCAGCCTTGCATGTCCCTGGCTACCCTGGGGCAAACGGTGATGGAGGAGGAGTGGTAATTTTTGTACCAATATACAGTGTCTGCTACCAAAGAGTGTTTTTTTGCAGATGTTTTCTACACAGCAGTGTAAGAGATGTCACCACCTCCTTGGAGCTGGATAGGAAATAATTGTGGCATCTGTGATAGCAGCTGAGGACATGGCTTTAACCTGCCAGAGGGGAGACTGAGATGAGCTCTTAGGCAGAAGCTCTTCCCTGTGAGGGTGCTGAGGCGCTGGCACAGGGTGCCCAGAGAAGCTGTGGCTGCCCCATCCCTGGCAGTGTTCAAGGCCAGGTTGGACACAGGGGCTTGGAGCAAGCTGCTCTAGTGGAAGGTGTCCCTGCCCGTGGCAGGGGTTGGAACTGGATGAGCTTTGAGGTCCCTTCCAACACAAACCATTCCATGGCTCTATGATTACACCATAGATGTAGAGCTTTGCTCACCCAGAAGAGACCAGAGAAGCCCCTGTTCATCCAGAGATGACTTACACCCCTGGTAAACTCAAGTTCATCCTTAGAAGTCAATTTCTGGATCGGATTACAGTGTTTTTTTTCTCTGACTGTTTGTATAAGACTTGTAGGTTTATTCACTGGAGATTGCCACCATAAATTTTAGAAGTCTGGCTTACAAAGCCTATAACAACCTTGTTTAGCAAAGGTGTGCCTTGCAGCATTCCTTCAGTAATGCCACTTTGGCTGCCCCTTACCTCTGGGGTGAGGTATTTCATCATGATTTCCTTTCCTTTCTCTCCCAGCTTTTCATCTGGAGCAATTTCATACTCTGCCTGGAACAGATATAACAAAAAAGAAAGTCAATATTTGCTCTCGTATTTCACCATTATAACTTCATTTTGGATGTGGCCTTAACGGAATGCTCCGTCTGAAAAATCAGAAGGATAAATACCATTTTCTGATGGAAGTAAAACCCGTCCACACCACCCTATTAAAACTTTCCACTATATTTTGACCAAACCCTAGTGATGCATTTTCTGAGACGATATCACCAATGTAATTTAATTCATTTATATCTTATAGACTTGCCAAGCCAGCTTTCAGAAAGCAGTCCGTGACAAGAGATGGCAACTTTACTTGGGTTTGCTCACAGGGAAGGCGAACACAGAAGGTAAAATTATTTCTCTGAGTAGAAGAGAAAGCAAGTGATTGTTAATTCTTGCCACAGATGTAGCATTTGAAGCACCAGGTGAACCCCTTCAGTAGATTGTCTTCCTAGTTGAGTGTGTTCTTGCTATTTAAGTCTTCCCCTTCATCTAACAATACTTGTGCAAAGCAGAGAGACTTGCCCATCACTTTTAATGATCCTTGACTCAGTCCCTCCAGAAGGCCGATTTCTTGAGACCAAGGTAGAACAAGAGGCTCCATTTAGAAGAACAGACATTATAGGCAAAATTCTCTTTTACTTCCCTGGTGCACTACAAAAGAGAGCATCACATTCCCCTACACAAACTTTACCTACATTTCAAATTCTGACTATTCTATGTACTGTAGCATAACTGACTTTTAATGAGCTTCAGGACAACGTTTACATAAGAAACAAAAGAAGCATTACTCGTGCACCATGAGGGCATTAATCACTTCAGTTGAAGTTCTGGATCCATGGCAGGCATTCAAAGGAAACACACATGCCGCATGGGACCCCAGTGGCTAAATGACAGCGACAAGTTCTTAGAGACGTTCCCACTTGGCACTGCTCAGGATATGAAGCCTTAGGAACCAATAAAAAACCCCCAGATGAGGACTGCCTATCAGCTTTCATGACTGCATTAAAAGAAAGCTCCCAGAACCCCCTGCCAAACCAATTAAGTAACCTGGCCCAATACAAGTTGTCTGTGATGATAAATGAGGAGGAAGTTAAAATAAAAAGAAGGTAAATCAGACTGAACTGGCAAACACTAGGAAGAACAAATATCAGAACTATTGCCTACTGGAAGATGTATGTCCTGCTCCAAGCTTGATGCAATAAATCCAAAGGCAGGCTGTAATGGATACCTTAGCTAAACAGACCCAAGAATGCCATGAAAACCACAATGTGGTAATAAGGCTATTACCCATCTATCTGGCCAGTACTCACGGAGCTATTGCAGCTTAAGTCTGAAGCTATGTATTACACACATACAGAGCAGGTTGCTTGAACAATCTAGAAGTAAGATCTGATTTGGTTTGGGAAATGACAGTGACTGCAAATAACAGAGAAACCTGTGCTGCTGCTGAAAAATACGCCCAAAAGCTAAAATCTACAAGTGCGGTACTTCTCTTTTAGTGCCCATTTTGGGGGTGAACTGATTTCATTCTCATAAAACCTAATACAAGGGATTAAAAAAATCTTTCATCCAATTTTCTGTCCTTTTAGATGGTATCTGAGTATGGGCCATTTCAGCTCCTAAAGCACAGACACTCTCAAATATTTACAGCATCTTAACAGCATTTTTCTCCATGATTCCTTGCTAGGTGAATAAAGCAATGGCAATAGTAACAGAGGGACCAATTTCATTAAAGGTGAAAGCTGCATCTTATTCGGACCTTACAGTTTAGGGTTGGGCTCACAGGAAAACTAGGTGTTTTTCATAGAAAATAAACCAGAGATAATATATTTCAATAAAAGAAAAGGAATGTACTTAAATGTAACTGTCTGTGCAGAAGCCTGCAAAGAAAGGAGAACTTCTTGGCACTGCCTCATCATGGAAGCATCTAGGAGATCCGAGTCCTCCATTCAATGCTACTTACAGTTTAGTCATTAATGACCATTTTTCTCTCCTTCATTTGCTTTTAGATTCTGGATCCTAGCAACATATTGGCTCCCTTGTAACTAAAACTTGATTCAAAGTCATCATCTGCCACTTGAAGTGCGCCAGGGGGATGTCAAAAAACGGCATGTCTTTTTCGCCACAGACACCCTATTATATATACATCCCATCCCAATCTCACATCAGGAAGCAAATTGGAGAGACCACAAGACAGAAGCTTAGCAGGAATTGGATCAGTGTTTTGAAATGCAATTCCTGATGGGATCCAAACTTATGCAGACCTAAATGCACACACACACGCACACGTATACAGAGTACCTAACTCTGTCTCAAGATAGCTGGGAAAGAAGAAAAGAAAAGCTGATTTATACTTGCATCTGACATTCTCAGAAAATGCAACACTGTGGTGGTGAAGGTAGGAAGTGACAGACAAGCGGGGATGTGAGAAAGAACCATAAGCTCCAACTGTGAACAGTGCGGGTTTTACTGTAGCTCAAGTACTAGAAGCCAATTTCATTTTGTCTCCGAGTTCATTATTATTTCTCCCTTCAGTGCCACGTTTGAGCTATTCAGCAATAGATTCTGGTACTTCTTCAGCCATGGGCTGTTATTACAGGAAGAATTGCCCATGTCGACAGGCAGAGTGACTTCCCCATGCTCACTCTCACACATGCCTGGGAAGCATACCAAGGTCCTCAAATCTCAGTCTTGTGCTTAAATCACAAGATACATCCCCTTCTTCCACAATACCCAAAAGCATGGCTACAGTTTGCAAATCCCTAATTGCTAGAAATAACATCGTTACTTAAAATCCATGTGGAACAAAATATTTTCCATTATTCCTTTGATGAATCCAGGCATGTGTTTCAAAGCTCCTGCTCTGAAGTCTAATAGCTTCTCCATGCCCTAGTTAGGTCAGACAGGGCCCTATTCATAGCTCATAAATGAGGGGAGGATTTACGATCACCCTGACTGCATGGGACGAGCTGCAGGGAAGGCTCCTTCTGTGGGCAGGCACGGATCCTTCAGTCCAAATGGCAAGAGGATGTGGGCTGGCTGCTGTTTGTTGCTAACTTTCCTTTTGGCTGCTGTTTCAGAGGTAGTAGTTACTTCAGTGGCTCCTGCCACTGCTCCCTAGAAGCAACCCTGGATGAATGGGGGCACAGGGGTGCGAAGCATCCTTCGCTTTGGAGTAGCCACCCTTGGGATGGGCTGAGTGAGACTGGATGGAAAACACACTTCCACTGGGAAAAGGAGCAAGATCTAGTCTTGTGGTTGGTTGCAGGCTCAGGGATGGCTCAGGAAGAGGTCTGGATGTTGGAGGTTGCCTGTGACCAATGGAGAGCATCACTAGGGAAATGGCACGGGGACACAGCGGTGGCTTGTACCAGCAACCTTCGCTCTGACACATCGTTTTATCTAGTGCTTGATTTTCCTCTTAATACTCTTTGAGCTCCTGAAACTGTGGCCTAAAAACATGTGAAAACTGAAAAACAGAGCCAGAGGGATCTCTCTGCAGATCCGGGAGGACTCTTTCGCACAGCAGGCAGGTGCTGGTTGCCTGTGGGAGCATGGCATGCCAACAGGAGTCGGTCCCTTCTACCTACCAGGAGGTGGAGATGGGAACAGACACTCCCACCAATACATTTTGGGCTTCTTGGCATAAATCAGTGCAGTGGAGTCAGGTTCTGAGCATCTCCAGGAGGCTTCTGGTGTTTTGTCCCCAATTTTACACCTCCACTTTCTCAGCTCTGTTATTCACAGCATCTCTCTCTGCTTCAGCTCCTGCCTACTCCTTCCTTGGGACTCCAGGTTCTGCCCTCTTGCTGCTCTGTGCTCCAGCCATTGCCCTTGCACTTGCTTCTGCTGGAGACTTAAAATCTGAGACTGAAGATTGGAAAGCAAAATGCAAACAGCTGGTATTCATAATAACTCACATTTCTAAACGAAAAGTGAACTTGAAACCACATTTTTCATATTTAAACGCAGGGCAGAAAGAGCCCTTTTGACTGTTTAAAAACATGTTTTGAGTTAATGAGTTTGTTGATATCAACAAACTGGCATTTCTGATGGAAAAAGCCTTGAACAGCTTCAAGACACACATACACAGATGGTTTATATACCATGTAAAGGACTTAACCAAACAAAATCTCCCTAACAGCAAGACAGGGTTTTTACAAATGGCATTAAATGGATGCTTCTTCATCCTTCTACCCCCGATAAGTGCAATGTCTAGTGATGCGTTCAGCTGAAAAGTCCACCTGAGATTGTGCCTCTCACCCCCCAGCCCTATGCGTGGATGGCACAAGCAGAAACAACCTGGAGAGGGGCTAATTTCCCCCAGAGGATGTATTTCTGTGTGACTTTAGTGCAAAGAAAAAACATCATACAGGTTAGAGACAAAACCTTGACGAGAAATAGCCACATTCTCCTTCAGTCCCTCTAAATCTGGTCCATATTAAAATGTTAAAAGCCCTTGACTGGAAAAAAATAATAACACAAAATTATGAGTGTGAGTAGATGAAGCAGGAAAGGGAGTCCAGAAGCTAAAGTCTTCATTATAACGGCACACAAAAATCACAGGAGAGAAGGTGCAAATGTCAGGAGCTGGCACCCCAGGAATGTGCTGTTGAGAAGGGGACAGGGGTGAGAAGGTGCTGAATTGCCGCCTTCTTGTGCTGGAGGCATGGGCTGCGGGGAAGGAAATGCGTCTCGCTAGCAGATTCCCTGCTCACTGATCTGCCTTTCAGCACAGGAAACATATCCCCTAACACTTTATTTTAAGGGCTGTCTTTCAACAGCTCCAAAGCTGCATGATGTCGCCAAAATATTTGTAAGTACAGCAGAGCGTGCTTTAGGGCTGTGCGTGGACTCATAGAATCACAGAATGGTTTGGGTTGGAAGGGACCTTAAAGATCATCCAGTTCCAACTAGGAAAGGGACACCTTTCACTAGATCAGGTTGCTCCAAGCCCCATCCAACCTGGCCTTGAACACTACCAGCGATGGGGATTCTTTGTTAACAGCTGCACGGGAACTGTTTTAATCATAAACCATCTCCATTTAATGCTAATAGCTTATGTTCATGCAGTTTCTTCATCTGAAAGGCTACCTAAGGGTTTGGTAAATTATTCATGGAAGATCTTTGTGTTCACATATACACAGGTAAGCACACAATGCATTCAGAGGCACAAGCTGCAGCCATTGGTACTTCCTACTAGGTATTTTATTCAGTCAAGTCAGGACCTCTGTCATGAAGTTGTTTGCACAATATCCATAATAAGAGATAGCCATATCAGCTAGGAGAAAAGGCTGCTGTTGCCCCATTTCCTGGCCAATCAGCCAGACTGATGGCCACTATGATGGTCCCATAGCAGTGGTGGGAACCAAACATCATAGCTCCACCAGTGCTGAACTGCAAAGCTCTGAATCTCTTTGTTCTTACCACTTTTATCATTCAAAGCTGGGGCCTACTGCTTACAAACCACATATCTTTGAAGTGTGTTTTATGGTTGATAGATTGTGGCTCATTACCCAGACAGTGTTCTCAGAAAACACGTAGAAACTTCATGCCTCTGAGCACTTCAATCTCAGTTATGGGCTGAAGCTGGCCAAGTTATTCACAGGTTTCAGAGGGAACTGACAGAAACCCACCTACATGCATGTACAATTTAATGATACAAAACCTTTTTCTTCAGAAAGCAGCCCCACACTGCTTAAATGCTGTATTAAAAACTGGGAGGCATGGCTTCTGCCATGCTTGACCTGGTGAAGTCACTTAGCTGTGCTCCGTGAAAGAGACATGGTCCTACTTCTGAATGCAGAAAAAGCTCTGTGAGCCTCCCATGAGCAGCTAAATAGTTTCCTCTATTCTTTTTTCTTTTGATTAGTTATTACACAAAAGCTTAAGTTTTGCATCTCACAGGAGAAACATAACTAAGTCAAAAGTAAATGGAGGCTCTTGGCTTCTTCTGCTTCGGGCTTGTTACAGCAGGTGGTCTCTAAAAGGTTTCACATTCCTGGTGGTCCCAGAACAGGGCTGTAAAGTCGAACTTCTGGTCTCATTATAGGACGTTTTTGCCTAATTTTTTGCCTAATGTAGAGCTTGGCCTGAATTCCACCACTCACTCAACACAGTGTGACCCTGCTGGGCAAGTTTCAGTAGCAATCATCCAATTTAATGGCTATGGGCTGTGCTGCTTGACCTTAATATTGCTTAATACAGGGATTTTCATGGGCTTGGGGCAAGCTTATATAGAATTTGAAATCAATAAACAAAGGAGGCTGCTGTTAATTAGTGTTAAAAAGAAGAGAGAAAGCATAAATATTCAGACCTCCACAGAGCCAGGCGTTTTGTTAATGAAACCCTTGTAGTGCCAGTCTGAGCCTAACTGGGAAGTGACCACTGGCCTGGTAAACGTCTGCAGGACAGCTCCAGCCTGCAAAAGCAATGCTGGAATGGATGCAAAACACACCCTCGCAAAAAGATTTAGGGATATGAGTCTAGGATTGCTCGTAGAAGGAGCTTTAACACAAATCCAGTCTCACCACCAGCTTTAGCAGCTCCACTTCTCCCTGTGCTGCATGGATGCTGGGAAGAGGACCCGGAGTTGCTTGGCACTGCTCCACGGAGCTTTAGGAGACTGAAATGACACAGAGCCCTCAACTCCTGAAGTCGTCACTGCTGGGAGAGGCTCGAGGCAAAGGTTATCACGGGGTGGCACTGGGGGACACACACAGGAGCGATACGGGGGTCAGTAATGTTTCCCTTAGCCCAGATGTTATTACCACTGCCAGGTGTGTGCAAGGCTCACACAATGTGGGCTTGTTCTCTGCAGCTGCTGGGCGCTGATGGAACCAAAATATGATGCCTGCTGCTGGTGCAAGGAGGCATGAAAGAAGAGCAGAGCCTTGCTGATGCTCTCCAAACCGAGGACAGCTCTGTCTCTTCTGTGTGAAACTAAACCCACTTGGAAGCAGCCTTTTGCGGCTGTCTCCCAAAGGGTTTCTGTGGCTTCCTGGAGAGAGAACCAGCACTCAGTTCCTCAGGGCTGCAGGCATCACACCCTATGTGGCATTTCTGTGGAGATGCCTCCCCTCAGATGGGTGTGGTGTGTTCCATCAGTGGCAGATAACTCATGAGAGGATGCTGGCTCAGTACAGGACCAACACATCCAGGGTACGTGAAATGTCCTCCTGCCTGCTAGCCTTAAGCACATCTGCCCAGAGTATTCGTCAGGAGCAGTAGTTCCATGCGTCTTGATGGCTAAAACTTCCATTAGGGAAAATCACAACCGGTGCTAGGAATGTCAGGTAGAAATTGTGACCAGCTAAAACTGATTTGAACAGGGCTTTATCTAAAACTTTCTGTGATGCTGCAGATTTGCTGCACGTACTGCAGCACTAACAAACTTTAAAGCTTTAAGTGACCACGTGTCCTCTCCCAGACCTACAATTTCAGCGCAACCCTCACGTCCCCATGTAGTTCAGAACAGCTTCACCATGGAGAGAGGCTTTTTACAAGGGCCTGTGGAGACAAGGGGAATGGCTTTAACCTGCCAGAGGGGAGACTGAGATGAGCTCTTAGGCAGAAGCTCTTCCCTGTGAGGGTGCTGAGGCGCTGGCACAGGGTGCCCAGAGAAGCTGTGGCTGCCCCATCCCTGGCAGTGTTCAAGGCCAGGTTGGACACAGGGGCTTGGAGCAAGCTGCTCTAGTGGAAGGTGTCCCTACCCATGGCAGCGGTTGGAGCTGGATGAGCTTTAAGGTCCCTTCCAAACCATTCTGTGATTATACTATTCCATGATTTTATTCCTGTTGGTATGCATTGTTTTGCTTTTGACTGTCAGTGTCAGCCAGAGAGCAAAGCCCCCCTCGGGCACTCACACTCAGCACTGACAAGTTCATCTTCCTGGTACAATTTAGCCTTTTGGCTCATGAGCACCCTCCCTTTCTGCAGACTCCCAGCAAGAAAGCCACTGAGAGACTTCTTCACTGTGAATAGCTTCTCCTGCTGGCATAACACACGGCCAAGTGCTGCCAGAGTGGGAAAGAACATCGGATACCCCTGGGGCTGAGGGTGTTGTTCAGTGGCCAGGTTAACTGATAGCTCTCTGGGGTGGAAAATGGTTTCTTGGTCGCTCAAGACCAAGACTCTTGGTTACACTTTCACTCAACCAGGTCACTTCTACACCTTGTGCCTCTCTTTTCCTATTTGAAAAAACAGGGTAACAGTAAAGATGTCCTCTCTAAATCACCCTGCAGCCTACTGATGAAAAGGCTTGGTAAGAGATGGATATTATATTATCATACTTCTCATCCTCTCTTGTCAGTCCATTCATAATCTGCCCTTTCTTTCCAGTGCCTCCCAGCACTGCAGGGTTCACCCACATCAAAAGACATTACTTAGAGCATCTCAGCTGCTTGGGTGTTGACACGAAGGGAGGCCATGCTGGGACATCCTTCTCCTGCCTCGTGGCTCGTGCTCCCCATGAGCCACAAGGCTGGTACCAGTGAGATGCTTCATGAGTGCTGGTACCAACCTCTCAAGCAGTGCTGCCCCTCTACCACCAATGATGGTGGGATGCTGCCGTGGTCCACTGCTTACTAAGGTGTTAGACACAAAGTCCCATGACACAGCCATTTCTTGGGGTCAGGGGAGTCTCCTCTGTTGGAGAGCATTGCGAAGCACCCCAAAATATCACAGGAATTGACTTACCACTGAGTCAAGGAACCTAATGCAGCACTCGAGCTCGGGTCGAGTTTCACAGAACTGCCTGAAGAGAAGCCTTCCGATCGGCTGCTTTTCACATATGCTGCAGTAATCTCTCTCTAGAGGCAATAAAGAGAAGAAGAGAAGCATGAAAATGAGAGGAGCTTTGCCTTTTGGCTTGGTTAGCAGTTTAAAGCATTGCAAGCGAGTGCGAAACTATGTCCCCAAATCAAAACTGCTGCCTTCTCCCCGCCACACCACGTTTCAGGTATCCAAATACAAACACGATTAATGGCTTGAAGACTCAGACAAGAGAGGCTCAACTTTGTAGAGCTGATGTTGGTACAAGTCCCACAAAAAGCCATTCAGCTATTATGAAAGAATAATTCCACATTTTTCTGTGGTGGAAATATATGCACTCTGCAAAGGTACCGCTCGGCCTGGTGGTGTTTGTGGGAATGTGGGGAGCAAATTACAAGTCCCTGAAATGTGAGTCATACATTAAAGGGCAGGGAAAGTTGGAATTTGTGGAGACCTTCCTGGATGCCTCCTAGATACGCAGTAAAGCGCCCCTAATCTCTGGAAATGCTCAACCCACTCTCTACTGAACTATTATTGCAAACTATGTGTTTTCAAAGGTTTGAAAATCTGTGCTATTTACTCACTGAGCATTAACGAATGGATGGAGCATATGGCATCTAGCTGGTTCCAGTTCACACAGCACTCCTTTACAGAACTGCATTTCCCCTTAAACCCTGTATTTAAATGCCATCCAGAAACATCACTCCCAGTAAAGCAAAAGGTCCTTTACCCATCTCAGGGACTATCTGCAGGAAAACTTGAGGGAAGGGCAGGCACCATTAACTGGCATCGCACCAGTACAAACGCCAAGGCCCTTTCCAACCCAATTATAGCACTCTGTGATGCTATAATACTTTTCTGGTGAGAGCAGCAAATCCCCAGCCTGTTTGGAGCAGCAGTACTTGCTTGAGACACGTTATTCCTCTAGAAGCACACACATGTCAAACAACATACTGTGTTTCCTTGAGCGTTCCTCTCACCACCCTCCTCGCTGCCATATGGCGCTTGCTGTTATTATGGAAACAACCAGCTCCTAAACACATAACATAGCACTGCAAACAGACATGCAAAACCCACACAAGTTGTCAGTGCCTTGGCTACTTCTCTCTCAGGCCTACAGTGGCTCCTGCAATGCCTTTTATTCCCCCTTTGCTTTGTCCCCCTGCACAGTTCAGGTCCATCTGCACCAAGGAGAACTGTGCTGTGATGGAGCCCACCTTTGCCATGGAAGCACCCGGCCAAAGGGCTTGCTCATCACGGGTCAGAACCTGGGGACCATGTTCTGTGAAACCAGGACATCAGTCCTGAATGGAAAATGCTGCATGGCATGTTGGACTTGCTGACCTGTAGCTGGGTGGCAGATGCCAGGAGCCCCCAAGGCTGCCTCTTGCAAGGGGAAAGAAGGTGCTTGCTTGATGCTGTGCTGTGTGCAGTATGGCTGTACTTCAGGAACTGGCCCCTTGAAGCACCTACAGGGTGGCTATTCAAGACATGGGCTGGGACTAGCTGGGCTGTGCTTTTAATTCAGTATGGTCCTACTCTGCTCTATTCTTCTGAAACAGTCTGGAACAACATATCAACACCACTTTGTGGCTGGCATCACCAGTTCATTTTGGATCAGGATATCACTCATTCTATCCAGAAGATTGCAGTGTTTTGGTACCCTCCAGCAAATAAAACTGGATCTAAATCACTGTGTAAATCCTAACTTGACCTCCAATCTATCTATCAACAGTAAGCCCATGGCACTGGTTTGTTTGAGCTGGAGCCTCCAGTGTGGAACACCATGACACAGACATGTACAGGAGAAAGGCAGCAGGCTCGCCTGGATACTGAGCAGCCTTGGAGGTGTCCTTGTGGATGGTACAAGCTTGTGCTGCCTGACCAAATAGCTTTTATAGTGAGGAGGTAATTGCTGCAGGGATGGGCAGACACACATAACGCTAAGGTAAGCAATGGAGGAAAGAGCCTGAGTGAATCAAAACAGCAGCTCACAATGTCCCACAGGGCAGCACAAAGCCAGAGGCTGAGCAGCTCAGGTGAGCTCTCCTGGGAGGTCTGGAGGTTGAACTACATCTGTCTGATGCTGTTTTCTGCTACCTTGACTAACTCACTCTTCTGAGGCTATGAATAAAATATATACACTGAATATCGGCAGCACACAGCTTGCTTGATGGCAAGACTCAATCCTTCCAGAAGCCCAAAGCCACAGCGAGCTTCCTCATGTTAAGCAAGCAGTGCAAAGTATGCAATAGGCTGAATTTGTGACAGGATAAACCACAAAGGAACAAATACATTAATCAGCTAGTTTGCCCTATATTTTCTCTATTACAGTGCTATTGGATGCACAGTAGCAAGGCTTGCTGCTCAAAATGCAGTTAGTTTATCGAAGTTGCTATGATAGGGTGACACTCGCTGTAGTAGAGGATGCTAGAGGGCTAGTGATATCAGCTAAATAGGCATGCAAATTGCACACGCAATCACTGCAGTTCATAGTGTAGCAGGAAAAGAAAACAAGCAGCTAAACGCTATTACATATGTGGCTAAATGGAACATAAAGAAGACATGAGCACAGACTTCCTCCTATGGTGCATAACTTGGCCAACATACGAGAAGGGTGACCTGTTTGTAATGAGGAAAAAGGAAATGCCAGAAATAATCTCTGAAAACACAAGAGCCAGAGCAGTTCCCTGGAGCCATCCACTCCTCAGTCGTGCTCATTTAAGTGCTGGATCTACCAATACAGACAATAAATACATGATGCAACTGCTTTCATTCCTTCGAGGTGACACAAAGTATTTTCTTAGGCTCTGATCTTGCTGTTGGCCTCACTAAGTCAGCTAAAGGAGTCTGCTCCCAATTCATTCTTGGGATGCATGGGTCCTGGAGTCGACTAAGAAAGAAAAACACCTCTCTCAGCTAAAGCAGGGAAAAGAAGCCATAGTTTGTTACAGTAAGGGAAAAGCAGAAGTGTTTTAACAGTGTGCTGCACCCCGGAGACCTGGATAAAGCACCCCAAGCTATGCTCACAAGGTGCTGCATGCGGGGAGGGGATGAAGAGTCAAGAGGGTACCGCAGCCAGGGGCTCCCTAGGGCTGGGGCTGATGGTCGTGTCGCTCTCGGCCCGCCTGCCAGTACAAATATATCCATCCAGTTTCGAGAGCTTGAAAAATAGAAAGAAAGATTTCCTGAGGAAATGGAAATGTTAAACACTTGGAAGTGAAACCATATGCTCGTGATGATGAAGTGTAACTAAAACAGCTCTGAGAGCTGTATCTTTGGTAGTCAGACCCTCCTGCTGCAGCGTGATCCTGTTTAACACCTGCAAAGTCACCCAAACCAGGGGTGAAAAGCTGCGTGGGTCAAAGCCCTAGGAAAGCAGTCACTTCTCACTGCTGCCAAACTCATCATTTAAAAAGTACCACTGGCAAATAATGTGCACATGTGAGGTCTTTGTCTTCCTAACAGAGTATAGACACAGATCGTTATAGAAAAGATACTATATAAAATGTCATCACAAACACAGAACTATGGAATGGTTTGGGTTGGAAAGGACCTTCAAAGCTCACCTAGCCCACCCCCCTGCAATGAGCAGGGACATGTTCAACTAGATCAGGTTGCTCAGAACCACATCCAGCCTGGCCTTGAATGCCCCCAGGGATAATGTATTCATAAGATAAACAACGCTCATCCTAAACTCTACTGACTCATTTCTCCCTTTACTTCATAGCTTATGTATTGAAGACTACTTTATAGAGACCCAGCAAGCAGAACATACCAAAACAGTTACACCTGCATACAGGCAATGCTATCACCAAAGTCTATGGCCAAATTTGTTCCCTGGCAGATACTCTGGTAAGGTTCTGAAAAAGATCTAAGCACACACCCAGGAAAACCAGTTCTATTAATAACTTTCATACGGACCAAAACATGTCACTGATGAAGTGAAAAACACTAAACAGGGTAATAAAGCTGCTGACAATAAAATCCTTGACTTTCATGCAAAAGGGAAAAAACTGAATATCTAAAAAACCTCCTTGGGCCTTATAAAGATCTTTTTGTCTCCATTTCCCCTTTAAAGACATAGAAGGTTTTTCTTCTGGCTCAAAATATCACCTTATCAATTTTTGGAGATAAACAGCGGTCTGCAGAGAGACCAGGACCCTCCTCCTGTTTCACATCTGAAACATCCCTATGGGTTCTGGTGGGTTACTGGTGAGCTACACAACAGGGTGACGACTCCTGGCTGAAACCCAGTCTTTTCTGATGTGTTTCATTCAGTGTAAACTGCAGGTGTATGAGTGAGACTGCTATGGAAAGCTGTATTCCTGTTTCTGGGTAGAAGCTCTTGTTCTGAAGGGCTGCTAATCCAACACCTGCACACAGCTGGTGAGGCTTCTTCCTCTAGCTGTCTATGGGGAGGAACGAGCTCAGTTTAAATCTCACTTTTCAAGTCTACAAGAGCCAGGAACATCTTTTCGCCTTTTTGGTCACTACTGGTGCGGCCAATGACTGCACTTAGGTACTGACTATTAAACAGCATTTTGTTTTCCAACATACCGGAATCCCAAGATAAGATATTTCATAGAAATGCATGGAGAAGTGCCAGGAAGACATGCACCATGCTGCTGCACAGGAAAATTTGGACTTGGCTTCTGGCTCTCTGCTCTCCTTGGCATTAAATCAGCCTGGATTAAAACTGAGTAAGATCCAAATGCAATGTAATTCTGCTGCCTACAAACAAAAACCCAACCAAGACGACAACAACAACCAAAAAAACCCCTTCCTTAACACCTGGAAACCCCAAAGTGGATGCAGGAAGATTTAATTGTTCTTTTCCTGCTTGTGCTCAACGACCCATGATGAGAACTCATCTTCCCCTTTTTTTTCTTCAAGGTGAATCAAAATCTTTCAAACAGACATTGTTCCAAGTCTATTATTTGTCTTCCTTTATCCTGATTTAGTCCAGAGCAACAAAAAGCACACTAAACTCATGGAAGAAAGCATTTGAATATGAGGGAACTCTCAGTCCCTACTA